AGCTCTGCGGCACCCACTGGCCGAGGGTCGGGCCGCGAGTCCGGGCCGTCCCGCGGACGTGCTTTGGGCCGCTGCCAACCCCGGGGCTTAGCTCTGCGGCACCCACCAGCCGAGGGTCGGGCCGCGAGTCCGGGCCGTCCCGCGGACGTGCTTTGGGCCACTGCCGACCCCGGGGCTAAGCTTCGCGGCACCCGCCGCCCGAGGGCCGGGCCGCCAGCCCCGGGTGCCCGCCCCAGCCGCCCCGCTCCCGGCCCGTCCCTCGGCCCCGCTCCGGTCCGCTGCTGACCCCGGTGCTTAGCTCTGAGGCACCAGCCAGCCGAGGGCCAAGCTGCGCACCCGGCCCGTCCCTCGGCCCCGCTCCGGGCCGCTGCCGATCCTGGGGCTTAGCTCTGCGGCTCACACCGGTCGAGGGCCGGGCTCCGCACCCAGGCTGCTCCACAGCACTGCTCCGATCCGCTGCTGACCCCGGGGCTTAGCTCCGTGGCACCCGCCGACCGAGGACCGGGCCTCGTGCCCGGGCTACTCCGCGGCCCCGCTCCGGGCCGTGGCCGACCCCGGAGCTTAGCTCCAAGGCACCCGCCGGCCGCGGGCTGGGCCGCGCACCCTGCCGCCCCGCGCCCGCCCGGCCCTCGGCCCCACTCCGGGCCGCTGCCGACCTCGGGGCTTAGCTCCGAGGCACCCGCCAGCCGAGCGCCGTGCCGCGCGCCCGGGCCGCCCCATGGCCCCGCTTTGGGCCGCTACCGACCCCTGGGCTTATCTCCGCGCCACCCGCCGGCCGAGGGCCAGGCCGCGCACCCGGTCCGCACCTCGGCCCCCCTCCAGGCCTCTGCCGACCCCGGGGCTTAGCTCCGCGGCAGCCGACGACCGAGGACCGGGCCGCGAGCCCGGGCCGCCCAGCGCCCGGCCCGGCCCTCAGCCACGCTCCGGGCCGCTACCGACCCCTGTGCTTATCTCCGCGTCACCTGCCGGCCGAGGGCCGGGCCGCGTGCACGGGCCACCCCGCGGCCCCGCTTTGGGCCGCTGCCGACCCCGGGCTTAGCTCCACGGCACCCACCGGCCGAGGGCCGGGCCGCTCCACGGCCCCGCTTCGGGCCGCTGCCAACCCCGGTGCTTAGGTCAGAGGCACCCGCCAGCCGAGGGGCGGGCCGCGCGCCTGGGCCGCCCCGCGGCCCCACTCTGGGCCACTGTCGACCCCGGGGCTTAGCTCCGTGGCGCCCTCCGGCCGAGGGCCAGGCTGGGCACTGTAGCTGCCCCGCGCCCAGTCCGGCGCTCGGCACCGCTCCGGGCCGCTGCCGACTCCGGGGCTTAGCTCCGCGGCACCCACCAGTCGACGGCGGGGCCATGTGCCTGGTCCGCCCCGCACCCTGCCCGGCCCTCGGCCCCACTCCGGGCCGCTGCCGACCCCTGGGCTTAGCTCTGCGGCACCCGCTGGCCGAGGGTCGGACCACGCATCTGGGCCGCCCTGCGGACCCGTTTTGGGCCGCTGCCAACCCCGGGGCTAAGCTTCGCATTACCCGCCGGCCGAGGGCCGGGCCGCGCACCAGGGCCGGCCCGCGCCTGGCCCGGCCCTCGGCCCCGCTCCAGGCCGCTGCCAAACCCGGGGCTTAGGTCGGAGGCACCCGCCGGCCAAGGGACGGGCCTCGCGCCCAGGCCGCCCCACGCCTGGCCCGTCCCTCGGCCCCCCTCCGGGCCGCTGCCGACCCTGGGGTTTAGCTCCGCGGCACCCGCCTGTGTAATCACACAAAAAATAAAACGGCCGGCGGTCAGGCCGTTTCCCCACTCCAGGGAGGTCGATGGCGATGGTCAGGTGAAGGAAGGAAAGGAGGCCAAGCTGGTTGGTTTTAGTAGCCGTTTATTACATGGAAGAGATGTATGTCATGGAGGCCTCAGGAATCCTCAAGCACGTGCGCCTTTGTTCTCTCAGCTTCTGTCCTCAGCCCCATCTTCCCAGGTTCTCTGATGCACGTGTCCCCCAGAGAGCCCTGAAATCTCCCTTATATAGATCATAGTACCTCTAAAGGGCGCAATATAATGATGTCATCAAAAGGAGTTACAGAAAGAACATTGAGGCGGCAAACATACATTGTTTCCTTACATCCACAGGCCAGTAATCCTGGCCTCACCTTTTCACAAGCTACAAGCACTTAGATTAGCACAACAAAGACCAGTCTGCTAGAGCTTGGAATCTACATCTCCAAAAAAGCAGTCTCATCCAAGCTAGTCAGGACACACAGGAAACTGCTTCTAGGACGTGTTTCTCCTCTCCTTGTCCAACCAACATATAAGCATACATGATATTAATCATTTCGTATGGACACAGTAAGAAATACTTTGAGCTTATAGAATTGCTCTCCTAGGGCCATCTCGATCTCAGACTGCAGTGCTCAGGCCAGATATCTTTCCTATTCCTAGCACCAGGCCCTAGTCTCATCGTTACTATTGGATCATGACATAATGCCTATGATCAACCTCTTAACTTATAGTTAAGAATCGTGGCACCTTGGCCTGGCCCATTGCGATGCCAGGGTAGCACATAACTTACCGGCTTGCCCTGGTTCCATAAGGTCCCACGTCAGGACCCTGCCCTTGGGGTGCTAGGAAGTGAGGGCAACTGAGGCTTAAGTTGAGAAGGCAGATGTCCAGGAGTGAATAATATCCAAAGCCAATTAAATCCTAAGTTATAAAGCATAATATTAATTAATTGTCTTCCTGTATCTATACAAAAGGACATTGCATTAAAGTAAACTGCACAAGACATAAGGAGAGGAGAAAGGCAATATTAACTTACAGTACAGCCTCAGTGTCTAAGCAGGATGAGACCTTACAAATTGGTTGGGGAAGAGAGCATAGAAGTGGTTACAGACAAAGTAATAGAAATGACTCGGGAGCACTGTAATGGTTACAATCTGATAAACCTAAGCTCCGTGTACTCCAACATCTCACCCTTTTCTGTTTACAAAAACACAAAATTTGAAATAGACAAAGGAACAATTCCAATCAGAAAAGTCTCATATGTAGTAGTAGTAAAACTTCAGTCCGCCCCTGAACCCAGAGCAGTGCTTGTTGTAAAGTGTCCAATAGTCCTGCACTGTTCAAGTGTAATCAGAGTCATTTAGTCGCTTTTTGAAGAAATGAAGTGTCCGGATAGCAGTTTGAAGAGTTGTTTTTGCAACATCAGCAGTAGTGGTCCCAGCAATGAGTCCCAGCAATGAGTCCCAGAGAAACAACTGTCAAAGAGTCCTATGAACTTTAGGAAGCACTGGATCAGGCAGGGAGCACTGGAACAGGAGCACCACAACTTCTGTCAGGAGCTCTTCAGCAGGGGAATGCAGCCATTCTCTGTTCAGGTTCACGGCAGTCATAGATGTGCAACCTAGCTTATGTCTGGAAAAAACACTTTTTAAAAGTTATCAGAGGCTTTGAGCATTGGGGTTTGGTTCATCTTCATGTCTGGGGGTAAAGAAGGAGGCAAGGGGGGAACTCCAAGAGAAAAAGTTGTCCTAGAGAGAAATTAAAAAGGTGATCCTATTAAAAGTCATTCCTTCCTCCTTCAGGAGATGAGGCACCTGTGAATTCCAAGGAGAGGGTAAAATTAAAGAATTGTTAATCCAAAATATGGGGTCCAGATGTTGTCCAATCCACAACCTATAAGAGAAGGGTATAAGGAATGCTCTTAATTTGATCTCATGATATGTTAAAGGCCTTTGCTCCAGGCTTTCTGATGCTGGTCCTCTGATTTCCTTGTGAATTCCAGGTGAAATCAGCTTGGTGATGGCTTGGAGCTGGAATTTAGAGAGTTGTAAGACTGCAAAGGTCTGAAAGTTAATGCAGGTAGATGAATTCGGCTCCTGATGAAATGCAATGGAACCCAAAGCTTCTTAGTGGAGTTATCTGTTGAAAGAAAAATATAGCCTTTTCCTCGAATGAGGTGTCTCCCTGCTACCCAGTCTTTGTCAATTTTTAATCAAATTAGGAGAAAGTTAATAATTTTCTGAGTCTGTGCATCTTCCTGAAAATGCTTTTCAGCTGCGGTATATGGCTCCCCTTGAGGTAAATTCAAAATTTTAAAGAAAACAATGTCAAAGAATAGGAGTCAAAAAAGCAGTCTCATCCAAGCTAGTCAGGACACACAGGAAACTGCTTCTAGGACGTGTTTCTCCTCTCCTTGTCCAACCAACATATAAGCATACATGATATTAATCATTTCGTATGGACACAGTAAGAAATACTTTGAGCTTATAGAATTGCTCTCCTAGGGCCATCTCGATCTCAGACTGCAGTGCTCAGGCCAGATATCTTTCCTATTCCTAGCACCAGGCCCTAGTCTCATCGTTACTATTGGATCATGACATAATGCCTATGATCAACCTCTTAACTTATAGTTAAGAATCGTGGCACCTTGGCCTGGCCCATTGCGATGCCAGGGTAGCACATAACTTACCGGCTTGCCCTGGTTCCATAAGGTCCCACGTCAGGACCCTGCCCTTGGGGTGCTAGGAAGTGAGGGCAACTGAGGCTTAAGTTGAGAAGGCAGATGCCTAGGAGTGAATAATATCCAAAGCCAATTAAATCCTAAGTTATAAAGCATAATATTAATTAATTGTCTTCCTGTATCTATACAAAAGGACATTGCATTAAAGTAAACTGCACAAAAGACATAAGGAGAGGAGAAAGGCAATATTAACTTACAGTACAGCCTCAGTATCTAAGCAGGATGAGACCTTACAAATTGTTTGGGGAAGAGAGCATAGAAGTGGTTACAGACAAAGTAATAGAAATGACTCGGGAGCACTGTAATGGTTACAATCTGATAAACCTAAGCTCCGTGTACTCCAACAGACTTCTACAGATAAATCACTCAAATCTTTGTCTCCTCCCATTACTTTATCATACTGGTTTACGTGAGATTTTAAATCATTACTAGTAAACATCATTTCAAGGGCCTGAGAAGGTGTCTGGTAAAACTTGGGGAAGGACCCCAAGAACCTCGCTTGCTCTGACTATGAAAGTCTCTTCTTAGATGTTTCTTTCTTCATGGACACTTGGGGCTGATAAGAAGGAGATCCATATATTTCTTCAAGGAGTTTCTCAAAACCGGCATCAAAAGCATTTTCGGTTATGGATGGAGCCTCAGACTTCTCTCTGGTTTCTTTCATTTCCTCAGGATGAATTTGAGGAGAGGTTTGTTTGGTCACCTCAGTGATCTCTGATAGAGAAAGAGTCCCACTATCACTTTCATGTTTTGAGATTTCAGTTGTTTCCTTCAACAGTCTTTCTATTCCAGCACGGAACTCAAAGAGTTCTGGTTTAGGTTGAATAATTGTTTCCTTTACAATTTCTGCCACTTCCTGAGGCAACTCTTTATCATACTGAGCAACTATAGAATCAGATGAGTTAAGGGTTTGTTCTGATGGCAACAACTGGGCAGGAAAACGAGATCCCACATGATAAGATTTATTAGGAACTACATTAAAATGATAAACATCCTTTTTGTCTGGAATTATAACATCTGTTGTAGCCCATAGTGCCATTACTTACTCCTGGAGAATTTTGAGAAATGTCAGTTGTTGACCGAACTCTGTTGGGAAATTCTGATTTTACTTCTTCAGGAACTACTTCCCTTATAGTTGGATAACTGAACCAAGCTTCTCTAAGAAGTTTTTTCAATGCAGTATTCATATCATTCAGTGCAGACCTGGGAGGAAGAACAACTTTTTCGATAGTCTCTGAGATTTCTCTTTGAGGAGATAGTGTCTTATTATGACGAGCAAGATGAGCATCCCCCAAAGAAGGCATAACCTGAGGAGAATTGGCCACATTTACAAAAGAACCCTTTTTGTGAAGATAGGAAGGTGGATCGAATGAATGACAACCTCTTGTAGTCACCTGAAACAGTTCTTCCATGTTTGGCTGGCATTTGCCACTTTCTGATTTCTAGAGAAGAGTTTTATTTTCCAAAGTTTGTTTCCCCTCTGGAAAAGTAGTTAATATCTTTCTCTCACAGGCTGATATGTTGTGACTCCCTTCAATCTCTTTTTCAAAAACTCTAATCTCTTCACTCTAACTTGGAGGGATAGCACAGCGGTAAGGGCGTTTGCCTTGCACGCAGCCAACATGGCCGACCCGAGTTCGATTCCTCCGCCCCTCTCGGAGAGCCCAGCAAGCTACCTAGAGTATTCGATATGCCAAACACAGTAACAACAAAGTCTCCAATGGAGACGTTACTGGGCCCGCTCGAGCAAATCGACAATCAACGGAAGGGCCTTTACCTTTACCTTCACTCTAACACTACCTCCACTACCCAGCTGCCGCCACACTCCAGGACGCTTTCCAGACCCGCGTGGCAGCTCTGGCTGAGACTCACGCACGACTGAAGACCCACAGAAAAAGATAAGCGGAACTCTCTGAGACCTTGGACTCCAGGCTCAATGGACCCAGGGACAGAGATTCTCTGCTTGCTCCCACCAACCACAAGTGACAAAGGGCTTATAATCAGGAGCCCCACCCTACCCTGCCCTGTCTGCTTCCACCAACCACCAGAGACCCAAGGATTGGATTGCGCACAGAAGACCCACCCTACCCCTACCGGGACCAGATAAATACCTCACTGGCAGACCTCCACTACTGACATTACCTCCACTACCCAGTCACCGCCACACTCCAGTATGCTTTCCAGACCCGCGCGGCAGCAAAGCGGCCATGCAACACATTATAATACACTAAATACTCATCTTCGGGAATTGCCCTAACATATTTGATAGGGTTCAAATATGGTAACACCTATGAGGGCAATTAGAGGTCACCCCAAAAGCCTCTATCCCTCTCGGAAAGACTGGCAAGTTACCAAGAATATTCCACCCGCACGGCAGAGCCTAGCAAGCTATCCGTTGTGTATTCGATATGCCAAAACCAGTAATTACAATGGGTCTCATTCACCTGACCCTGAAAGCTTCACCAACATGGCAGCTTTGAGAAAGATGAGAAAGTAGAGGCCGATAAAATCTCAAGGCAGAACTAGGCTTCCACAACAAAGGAAGACAAAAATGATCATCTGTACTTTCAATGCACGTACACTGGCATCAGATGCATCCATCGAGGACCTGATGGTACAAGCGCGAAAGATCAAGTACGATATCATTGGTCTGAAAGAGACAAGAAGGCACCAATCTCATCACGCTGTTTTCGACACTGGAGAAGAATTGATCCTCGGAACATGTGATAAAAGTGGTGTCGGAGGCGTCGGTGTCCTTGTCAACACAAACTTAGCCATGAGCATTGATTCATTCGAATGCCTAACAACCCGAATCGGACGTTTACATTTGAATATCTGCCGGCAGTTTCTATCTTCGTTGTCTACACACCAACATCTCATTATGATGAAGCAAAAGTTCTACATTGAACTAGAGAAGTTCTATAAAGAAGACCACACCTTCTACAAGATCATTGTGGGTGATTCTAATGCCAAGATAGGACCGAGAAGATCAGCTGAAGAACTTCACATCGGGACCCACGGCCTAGAATGGAACGAACAGGGTGAGAAACTGTCTGAGTTCATCATGTCGACCAAGACCATCCATGGTAACTCACAGTTCCAGAAGGCCGATTCTAAACGTTGGACATGGGAGTCTCCCGATGGACGATTCCACAACGAAATAGACCACATCATATTCAATCGACGGTTTTGCCTGACCGATGTCCCTGTTGACCCAAAATTCCGAACGGGATCGGACCACCATCTCCTTCGTGCAAAATTCTACTTCACAGAGCGGGGAGAAAGAGCTGCAAAGTTTAAAAAGAGAACTCCCAGAACAACCACCAACTGGGAGCTCTTTGACACTATTGCAGCAACATGGGTAGATGCCATTGTTGACAACATTGACGAGGAATATGATCGACTGGTTCAGCACCTCCATGATTGTGCGAGGAACGCCAAGAGAGAGATAGTCACACAAAAAACACCTGTCTTCGAAAACTCTTCAGCTTATTCGCCAACGTGGTTTGGCGCATGCCTCATGCAACCACAAGCGAATGTCTGAGCTCGCAAAGCAGTGCAGAGATGCGATCAAGGAAGACTTCAAAGAGAGAAGAGCAGAAGTGCTGTTAAATGCGGCAGAAGCTGGGAAAAGTATTCGTAATGCCTGCCTGTCCTTCGCCAACTACAAGACCAAGATGACTGCCCTTCGAAGTCCTGATGGATCTATCACATCCTATAGAACAGAAATGGAGAAGATTATCCATGACTTCTACTCAAATCTCTTCGATAGCCATGTCCACCTGCTGACATACCAAATTCCACAGGATGGATATGTCGTTCCCAATGTTCTCCCTTCAGAAATCCGACACGCCATTTCGTCAGTAAAGAAACAAACAGCACCCGGTCCAGACAAGGTCAGACCTGAACACCTGAAGAACCTGCTGTCAGTGCTCATCAATACACTGGCTCGGCTCTCCACACGCTACCTGTCTGAATGCAAGTTTCTGTCCCAATGGAAAACCAGCAGGACTGTACTACTGTTCAAGAAAGAAGACATCCATGACATTGGTAACTATCGCCCGATCTGCCTATTGTCTGTCATCTACAAGTTGTTCACTCAAGTCATCCTAAATAGGATTGGCAGAACACTAGATGAAGGACAACCATGCGAGCAAGCCGGGTTCTGCAAAGGATTCAGCACCATCGACCATATCCACATAATAACCAAGCTCATTGAGGTTTCTCGGGAGTTCAAGATGCCGCTCTGTCTAACGTTCATTGATTTAAAGAAGGCCTTTGATTCTGTTGAGATGGAAGCGGTCGTGGAAGCCCTAGCCAATCAGGGCATTCAAGCTCAATACATCAAGATCCCTCTGTGAGCTGTATTATGGATTCACTACCAGGATCTCACCATTCTACAAAGAAGTGATCATTGATGTCAGGAGAGGGGTTCAGCAGGGTGATACCATTTCACCGAAACTCTTCAGTGCCACCCTCGAGAACATCATGCAACAACTGGAATGGGAAGGAATGGGACTGAAGATAGATGGTCGGCAACTGCACCACCTCCGCTTTGCTGATGACATTGTTTTAATAACACCAATCATCAGCCAAGCAGCACAAATGCTGGCGGACTTCGACCATGAGTGTGGAAAGGTCGGACTACAGCTGAATCTTACGAAGACAATGTTTATGAGAAACAGCCTCGTTCCTGACGCCCCATTTGCTCTCAACAGAACAACCAGCTCCGAATGCAACAGCTATGTGTACCTAGGTCGAGAAATCAACATGACAAATGACCTGGCACCCGAGCTGCGCAGGAGGAAGAGAGTGGCTTGGAAAGCCTTCAAGAGCGTCGAAGAAATAGCTAAGAGGATGAAGAACCTCTGGCTCTGGGCACATCTTTTTTATTCCACTGTTCTTCCTGCATTAACATATGCCTCAGAGACCTGGGCCCTATGTAAACAAGATGAGAACGCTATTCGGGTCTCCCAAAGAGGAATTGAAAGAGCTATGCTTGGAATATCACGTTTCACTCAAATGAGAGAAAGAATTCGGAGTTCTGACATCAGTCAACGATCAAGAATCAGGGACGCTGTCTCATTTGCCAAGGTGTCAAAAATCAGATGGGCTGGTCACTTAATGAGATTTAAAGACGACCGCTGGACTAGAGCTGTTACTGACTGAATTCCACGGGATGTCAAAAGACCACGTGGCCGCCGACCTACCAGATGGTCAGACTTCTTCATCAAGATCATGAACGATCGGTTTGAGGCTCTTCATGTTCCTAGAGCAAACAGACGCCATTGGGCTACACTAGCACGCGACAGGGAAAATGGAGACGTTACTGGCGCCCACTCGAGCAAATCGCCGATTATCGGGAAGTCAAGTGATCAAAGTGATTATTTAGGTAATATATTAAATTTTATTCATATAAACTAAAGAGTAAAGAACACCCCGCCCCCCTTACAGCCTCTCTCCCCTCTCTCCCCTTGCCTCTGGAGCACAGTCCTGGAATCCCTGGATCACAGCACCCCCTGGTGGTCTCACGCACCCCTGTAGCTCCCCTGTCTCCCTCAGCTGGTTTGTGTCTGGGCTCACAGGGACTTGCCCTCACTGTGTGTTTCTTGCACAATAATACATGGCTGTGTCCTCAGTTACTGAGTTACTCAGTTTTAGGTAAACTTGGTTCTTGGAGGTGTCCCTGAAGATGCTGACTCAGAACTGAAAACTCGGTTTATAATATGTACTTCCATCACTCCATATACCACGAATCCAATCCAGCCCATTTATGGGGGCCTAGAAGACCCAGCTTACACCATAGCTGGTTACAGAGAATCCGGAGACGAGTAGTTGAGGGTCAGCGTCTGCAAGGGCATCACCAGGCTTTTGCCCAACTCCTG